TAACCAAGGAGGTAAATGACCTGTACTTGGAAAACTAGAATATACAGAGGAAAGAAATTAAAGATGATACAAATCAATGTAAGGATTTATTGTGTTCATAGATTGGAAGAATTAACAATGTTCATACTAACCAAAGCAATCTACAGAGTCAATGTATTCCCCATCAAAATACCAATGACATTTTTTATAGAACTAGAACATATAATCCAAAAATGTATATGGAACCAAAAAAGACCCTGAATAGCCAAAGCAATCTTGAGAAAGTAGGACAAAACTGGAGGTATCATACTAATTGATATCAAACTATACACTACAAGGCCATAGTAATCAAAACCATAGTACTTACCATAAAAATAGATAAACGGAATAGAGAGCCCAGAAATAAACCCACTTCTATATGGCCAATCAATCTGTTACAAAAGAGGCAAGAACATACAATAGGGTAAGACAGTCTCTTCAGTAAATGGTGGTTGGAAACTGGAAAGTACTTGCAAAAGAAATGAAACTACACCACTTTCTTACACCACATATAGGAATAAATCCAAAATGCATTAAAAATTTAAATGTAAAACCTGGAACCATAAAACTAGAAGAAAACATAGGCACTAAACTCTTTGAATTGCTCTTGGCAATATTTTTTTGGATATGTCTCCTTATGCAAGCGAAACAACAGCAACAAAAAAACAAATGGGACTACATCAGACTAAAGAGTTTTTGTACAGTGAAGAAAACCATCAACAAAATGAAAAGACAACCTACTGAATGAAGAAGATATTCACCAATGATACACCCTAAGAGGTTAATATCCAAACTATATAAGAAACTCATAAAATTTAACACAAAAAATAAAAAAAATAAAAACACAGCCTGGCTGGCGTGGCTCAGTGGTTGAGTGTCATCGACCTATGAAACAGGAAGTCAGGGTTCGATTCCCGGTCAAGGTACATGCCCGGGTTGCAGGCTCAATTCCCAGTGGGGGGCGTGCAGAAGGTGGCCAATCAATGATTCTCTCTCACTGTTGATGTTTCTATCTCCCTCTCCCTTCCTCTCTGAAATTAATAAAAATATATTTTAAAAAAACACAAACCAATCTGATTAAAAAATGGTCAGGGGCCTGGCTGGTGTGGCTCAGTGGTTGAGCATCAACCTATGAACTAGGAGGTTACCATTCAATTCCCAGTCAGGATACATGCCTAGGTTGCAGGCTTGGTCCCCAGTGAGGCGTGTGCAAGAGGCAGCTGATCAGTGTTCATTCTCATCATTGAGTTTTCTAGCTCTCTCCCTCCCTTTCTGAAGTCAGTAAAAAAAAAATTTTTAAGATACAGGCAGGGTATCTAAATAGACACTTCTTCAAAGAGGACATACAGATGACATATGAAAAGATGCTCGCCATCACTAATTATTAGAGAAATGCAAATTAAAACCAGAATGAGAGATCACCTCACCCTGTCAGAATGGCTGTCTTTAACAAATTAGCAGACAAGTGGTGGTAAGGGTGTGGAGAAAAGGGAACCTTCATGCATTGTTGGTGGGAATGCAGACTGATGCAGCCAGTGTGGAAAACAGTATGCGGCTACCTCAAAAAATTAAAAATAGGACTACCATATGACCCAGCAATTCCACTTCCGTGTATTTATCCAAAGAAATCTAAAACGCTAATTTGAAAAGATATGTACATCCCTATGTTCCCTATAGTATCATTTATAATAGCTAAGTAGGGAAGCAACCTGTCTCTTTGATAGACAAATGAATAAAGATATGATACATATATACAGTGGAATAGTACTCAGCCGTAAAAAAGAATGAAATCTTGTCATTTGTAACAACATAGATAGACCTGGAACGTATTATGCTAAGTGAAATAACTCAGAGACAAATACCATAGGATTTCACTTATATGTGGAATCTAAAAAATAAAATAAACAAGCAATACAAATACATATAAAGAACAAATTGATGGTTGCCAGATGGGAGAGTGGTTGGGGGAATGGTGAAGGAATTAAGATATACAAATTTCCAGTTAGAAACATAGTTATGGGGATGTAAAATATAGCATAGGGAATGTAGTCAATATTGTAATAATCACATATTGTTTCAAGTGAGTACTAGACTTACTGAGGTGATCACTTCGTAAGTCATATAGCCATCTAACCACTATGTTGTACACTTGAAACTAATGTAATAGTGTATATCAATAGTAATTGAAAAATAAACATTTTTAAAAGAAAGGACTGAAGTTTTCTCATCAGAAATGAAGAATCCAAGTAAAGTTGGGTTTTTAAGGAAATTGATTAGTTCTATTTAATGACTTCGTCCAAGAACACTTGGTACCTGAGAGAAGGATGAAGGAAACAAGTGGAAGGTGCTTTCTGCGGGGTAGGAGCCTGGCTGTGTAGGTACGATGAGGGGCAGAAACGCTGCATGATCTAAGTGTCTCCTTAGAAAAGCAATAAACAGATTTTTTTTAAAGTTGGGGGGTAGGGAGTTAAGGAATTTAAGATTATAAAGAAAATGAAGAATAAGTTATTTTGAAAAGGAGGGGTATGTAAGTAGAAAGTTGGGGAATTTCAGAATTTAAGATTATAGGGGTAGAATTCTGAGGGTTGAGTCTAGAAAACTTAATCTTTCAAAACTAGATGGGAGCATATCTCTTGTGGCTTGAAAACCTCGATTTCTGGGTGAAGTCTTTACTACTTAAAGAACAGGCAAGGCTCATCACAAACTGGACCAACCTACTTTTCCAGGCGAATGTCCTCCTCTCTTGTGACCCCCATATTCTCACCACACTCTGCACAGACTCCTAAAGGCCTTTACCTGCTTTGCCTTTGCACATGCTGTTCCCCTTGCATGAAATGTTCTTCCTCCTCTTTGCCTTGCAAACTCCCTCGCATCTTCAAGCCTAACTCAGGTGGCACTTCCTCTGCTGGGTCTTTCCAGGCTCCTGCAAAAACCACTGAGCACGCCTTCATCTTTGCTCCCACAGTTCTCTCTAGACACCCTGTGGGATTTTACCACAAGTATATTGATTTATATGTCTCTCTATTCGGTAGATTATCAACTCCTTGACGTCAGAACCTATCTCATTCTCTTCTTCACCTGTAGTGCAAGTACAAATAGTAGGTGTGTAGTATCTGCTTTTGTTGTCTTTGCTGTGAAATAAAGGAATGAGTTAATGTGGTGCTTCTCAAACATTAACCAAGTCACCTGGAGATTTTCTTAAAACTCAGATTCTGGCCCTGACCAGTGTGGTTTAGTTGGTTGAGCATTGTCCCATGCACCCAGAGGTTGCAGGTTTGATTCCCCATTAGGACACATGCCTGGGTTGCGGGTTTGATCCCCAGAAGGGGGTGTGCAGGAGGTAGCCAATCAATGGTTCTCTCTCCCCCCTGCCCTCCCTAAAAGTCAATCAAAACATCTAACAAAAAAAACCCCAAAAAAACTCTGATTTAGTCTGAGATCTTGCCTCTCCAACAAGCTCCCCAGTGATGCCAGTGCTGCTGGGTTTGTGGCACTCATCCAGCGAGCCTTTGCCCAAGTAAATAGCGGAAGTGTAGTAAAGATAAAGCTCGATAGGAATGTGGAAGTGGAGCACTTATGGATACAGAGACTTGAAAAATCCTCACTGTGAACACTGGAATCCTTAAAATGATAGAAAACCACATGGGAAGAGATGCTTATTGTGGAATAAAGCAGGAGACCAGAGGGGGATGGTAGCTGAAAGAGTGGGATGATATAGTTCTATGACTTCAGCCTTAGCAAAGGAGGTGTCTGGTGCTGGCAGCCGCTGTGTGGGACTGCAGCGAAGGATGCTCTCCAGGGGGAGGGCTGGGGAAGAGGAGTGGTAGTGGTGTCTGGGGGTTCACTGGAAGGGTTAGGGGCCTCCCATGTTTACTCCAAATAGAATGGCACTTCCCCCAATGTGGACAGGAGTGTGAGGGGAGGGGAAGCCCTTGAAGAAATGGGAGGTACCAGAATTTGACAAAAGATCATTTCCTGATCGTAAGTTTCCAGGTTCAAAGTATGAAAGTTCTTTTTCTTTTTTAAAAAACTCATAAATGACGGAAAAAGTAGCACTAACAAGCATTCTGCTCTCACATATAGCCTTACAGGTCTGATGATGGGTGCAGTCAACCCCATTTCTTCTGCGCATTGTTGTGCATAGGGTACAATAAGTACCTATGTACTGTTTAACAATAGAGGAAAGGCAAAAATAAAGAACTGTTACATCTCCCACTAATCCCCTTCCCCCCAAAGAACTAATCAATATTTACCGCCTGATGTGTATTCCTCTAGCTTTTATCCATGCAAATTTATGTGCATAGACAGGAATTTTTCAAATTCCATCATGGTGCTTTTGCAGGCACATCATTCTGCAGACTGTTTTTCTCACTTAGGATAGGTCATAAACATCCCTCCAGGTCAATGGATAGAGCTCTAATTTGGTTTTTTCTTAGTCATTTTAAAATAGCTGTGTATAAATATAGATGTCCCATAATTTGTTCTGCCATTCTTCTATTGATGGAAAATTGGGTAATTTCCAATTTTGGCTACTACAAACAGTCTGACACACATGAAAAACCCTATTGTGACAGTGCCTCAGTAACAGAACTCTGATTTCAGCCAGCCACGCATATCACAGTAGCTTTCATATCAAGGACATTTCTGAATGAAGCTTAGCAGTGGCTAGGCTTGTGCTATCCAATGTAGTAGCCATTGGTCATATGTAGCTATTTAAATTCGCTAGAATTAAATCACATTAAACATTTACTTCCTCAGTCACATCAGCCTCATTTCACATGTTCAGCAGCCACGTGAGAGTAGTGGCCACCATAGTAGACAGCACAGTACAGACCATCCCACCCTCAGAAAATTCCACTGCACAGCCTGGACTAGACACTCAAATGCTACACCCTAAAGAAGGGAGTGTTTCTCATGGGCTGGTGTTATAAGAGAGCAAATTTTAAAAGTAAAAACTGTGTTTTAATTGGTTGCCTCTGCAGTTACTTCAATGAGAACCAATATCCAGATGAAGCAAAGAGAGAAGAAATTGCGAACGCTTGCAATGCAGTTATACAGAAGCCAGGTAAGGCAACGAGCTGTGCCCTGCGGTGCAGGTCTTGGCTTCAGGTCCTCGCTTAGGACACACAGCCCCTGACTCATCCCACTCCGTGCTCTCCTCTGCCATTCTCCTGTGGAGAGTCACGCCCTGTCCTGGTCAAACGAGACTTCGTGGGGACGTGAATGTGCTACTCCAATCAGACGTTCATATGGGAATGTTTCTAGGGAGTGTCCCTGATTAAGATGCGAGACCTTGAAATTACTTTTTTAAAGGCTGTAGATTTCTTTTTCCAAAAAATAGCATAAATGTATCAATTCCAATATAGTTTAAATATTTAATCAGCGTTTGTTAATAAAAATATTGGCATAGATTTGTTTAACAATTGTAAATTGTATAATTTACAACTGAAGAGAGAACTGTGTTTGGAGTTGGCTTTGGGAGGACTTCTGCTCAGCCAGGAGGGACTGGGGGATTTTATTCTGAGGTCCTGCCCTCATGCAAGTCAGCAGAGCCACTTAAACACACTCGTCCTTTCTTCCAGGTGCTAAGATAGTCCACATTTTACAGTTTTTGTTACCAGAAATCATTCAGTTATGACAATCCAATTGATCTCCATTTGGCCCATTAATGTGATTGGCTTAAAGGCTATAAATTAAAGTATAAATGCTTAATAATAATAAAATAGTAATTTATTCTCCCTTAGCTAGAAGCCTGACTGCTTAAAAGTCCAGAGCTTACAAACTCAGCTCCAACATCATCTAAAAGTCCCATCCCTAAAGCTGTGGGAACTCCGACCCTTCCTGGAAAGCACATTACCCCTAGCTCATCAAGCCCTAACCTGTTTTCTGGTGTCTCCACCCACGTGGATTAAAAGCTGAGACAGGAAAGGACAGGGTGGGAGGGGAAGGTGCAGGTGGGTCCTCGTTGGCAAGCATGGTGCTGTCCCTAAGAAGGCACATTTGATAGCAAAGAAGATAATAAATCTGCGTGGCAGCATAGTTACAGTAACGGATGACTAAGTAACTTTTAGTCTCCAAGAAAACATGAGACAGCAGGTAACTAGTTAGTGTAAGATCTGAAAGACGTACGTAAACCAGCTGTCTGGAAACCTGCTAAGGAACAGCACATTCATCTAGAACAGCGGTTCTCAACCTGTGGGTCGCGACCCCTTTGGGGGTTGAACGACCCTTTCACAGGGGTCGCCTAAGACCATCGGAAAACACATATATAATTACATATTGTTTTTGTGATTAATCACTATGCTTTAATTATGTTCAATTTGTAACAATGAAAATACATCCTGCATATCAGATATTTACATTACGATTCGTAACAGTAGCAAAATTACAGTTATGAAGTAGCAACAAAATTAATTTTATAGTTGGGGGTCACCACAACATGAGGAACTGTATTAAAGGGTTGCGGCATTAGGAAGGTTGAGAACCACTGATCTAGAATGATGCTAATTAAATGAAGCCTCTGTGTGCTCTCCTGTGAACATCAGCCCTAGCAGACTGACCTGTGAGATCCTTTAGGATTGTATTAATGCTGGAATTCTTTAAGATTGCATGGCTTTCTGAATTAAGGCATTTTATGTTCTTAGTTGCTATTTGTGTCTTTATTCAATAATAATTTGAGTATGAACACTGTACTAGGTTTGCAAAAAAAACAAAACAAAAAACCCTGTATCTGTTATTTCAACAATAAATACAATCAAAAGAACTTTTAAAAAAGAAAAGTATTCTTCCTTAAAACTAGTCTCAGATATAGGTTATCTGAATTTTATTACATGCATTCACAGGCAAAAAGCTGTCAGACCTGGAGCGAGTTACCTCCCTGAAAGTGTATAATTGGTTTGCCAACAGGCGGAAGGAGATCAAGAGGAGAGCCAATATCGGTAATGTATCAGGGAGGCTGCCTCTCCTCCCGGGCGGCTAACACTGCCTATTGTAAGTGGGACTTCAGTTTAGAACTGCAGGTCTAAAGTACCCCACATTTTAAACCTAATAAGAATTGCCTTATGTTTTTCTTCATTGTATTTTTAATAACCCAGTTAGTATTATTTAAAGTATTTGTGTTATAATAATAATGCCCTTATTATCTCTAAAACTCATTATTCTTAATGTTCTAGACTCTAGAAGGAGACATGGTCTCTGAGCAGTTACTTCTGTGGTGCATGTTAAAGATACTTGTAAGGTCTGGAGAGAGGGAATGTGATACCCCGGCTTCTTTGTTATTACTGGGTTATGACCTCAGTATTAAGGAACATCTGATTATTAGAGTTCGAATGAAAGAATCTTAGACAGGGAACATAGCAAAAGGCAGAGATTTCAAAAAGAAGGGAGCATTTAAGAATTGATGAGCTTATGGCGGGGAGGGGAGTGGTTTTGAGCTTCTAAAACTGTATTTCATTTTAAACTTACTCCCTCTTCATCATTACAAATCTCAAACACTTTAACGAACCCCAAGATAGGAGGTCCGTGTTATTAGTTGGTAAGTATCAGTTAAGCACCTAACAGTCAACCACACAAACGCAGCCCACACAGCAGCAGGGTCCCAGAATGCACACGTGTCCTTCCCCTGACCTCCGTGCCCTGAACTCCATCTGTCTGCAATTTAAAAGAAACAGAACATAGGGAATCTAGGTTCTTGTTTAATGACTTTCTAATTCCTCAACACGAAAATTAGTTCAGCATTTAGGTCATTATGATGCTGTAACAGATAATTTAGGGATCTATTTGCTTTTTTCGAAGAAGCAGCAATCCTGGAGAGTCATGGGATAGATGTACAGAGTCCAGGGGGCCATTCCAACAGTGACGATGTCGACGGCAATGACTACTCAGAACAGGTAAGTGGCTGAGCAGAGGATCAGGGTTACAGAGCGGGTGGGAGAGTGTGACAGCTCAGTTCTGTGGTGCGTGTGGTTTGGGTGGGGAAGAGGAGACAGTCTGATGTCCCTCCACACGGTACTCGCGTGTCTAGTTGGATTTTTGTGTAATTAGAAAGGAATGTGGTAAGATTCAGTTGTCCTGTTGAATTTGTGAGAAATCGCTATTCACCCACATGGATTTATTGTCATACAACAGGATACTTGGCAAGTACGCAATGGGGAGGAGGAGGAGGGAAGAAGTTCAGAGGGAGTCAGAGAAGCAGAGAAGGTAGAAGAAGAGAGGAGGATCTGATCCAAACAAGCAAGTTACACCATTCACCACACACACACTCACTGTTTGAGAAACACTAGGGGCTGCTGGGTAGCTGTACCCACGCCTAAGCACCACGATGGTGATGGCGCACAGTGGAAGGCCCCACCCCCGCGCCCCATCGCAGTGGGAACCGTGTGCTGAGATCAGTGGTTCTTCCAGAGTCTCCGGCACATTGACACACACACCCTCTCATAAATGCATGTCCTGAACCTCACCCAACTTATTCTTCATTGCCTGGGGGCAGAAATATATTTAACTGTAGCCACTGGATGGAAAAAGTCAGTAACTAAGGATGTGGGAAGTTCCCCGCCCCCCATATCTGTTGACAGATTTCATTTACATTTTTATAGGATTTGAAATTCATTTCCATTTGGAATGTGGTCTCTTCTCCTGGACCACAGGAAGGAAACTTTCCTATGGCGTATGCCCCTCCCTTGCTCCTCAGCCAGCTCTTAAATCCTGCCCACTGTGCTCCTTCTGCCTCCAGAGTCACAGCCTGTTCACAGACACTGTGATGATACCTGCCTTTCCATGCCCAACCCTTTCACCACCTAAGACCAATCCATGAGAAAGAGAATGAAACCACCCGTACTTTCCCCGGGAACCTGTTCCTCTCTGGGCTCCACATCGTAGCTCCACATTTCCCCTAGAGAGTGTTTGGAAGTCTTCCTCATTGGAAACATTCCTGGTAGCTTCCTCTACGGTGTAGAAGGGTCATTTCCACCTTTTTTCCAGATGCCCTAAGGGCAGCATATCCCACCCTTTTGTCCCCTGAAGGGACAGACCCTCCCCAAAGTTCTTTGATGCAGATTTCCCCTGAAGGAAACCTACCCCTTATTTGTAACCCGTGTTCAATGCCACAAATGCAAGGCCAGTTTCCTCCCCAGCTCTACTGTTCACACCTCAGTGTGGGAAGGGAGCTTCGCACTCCAGCTAAGGTGGCCACGCTTCCCGCACAGCAGGAGGGCGCTGCACACGCTCCCAGAGCTGTCCCACAGCGACACTTCCGTGCTGTTGTCATCAAGAAGTGGTTATTTTTTTACAAAAGTGCAATTTTATCCATAAGATGTTGGTGTCTAACTTCCTGTCTAGTTCTCTCAGTTCAGTGGAGAGATACCATGAATTCTAATAATCCATTTGTAAGAGCACCATCCAGGATTTAATAGCTCACTATCATGGCCTTCAGTGACTAGTGCTCTGTTTTTTGCAAAACTAGAATAAGGCAGATTTGATTATCATCACCAGCAATCTTCCTGAAAGAAAGAATCAATGCACAGCAAGAAAAATCTTGTTTGTTGAATCCTAAAACTCTCACCCCGAAATCTCTGGACTATCCATTCAGTGTCTACTTAAATGCATTTCGCCCCACTCGGTCTTGAGCCCCTCCCCTTCTCTCCTCCGCCTCCAGCCGCTCTGCCTCCCCTTGCCCAGCATGCCTTTCTGTGAGCTGGAGATTGTCCCAGTCCTCTAACGTGTGTTTCTTATCCCTGCACGTCTAGGATGACAGCACTAGCCATAGTGACCACCAGGACCCCATCTCACTAGCTGTGGAAATGGCAGCCGTCAACCACACGATCTTGGCATTGGCCCGACAAGGAGCCAACGAAATCAAGACAGAGGCCCTGGATGACGACTGACTGGGGAGGGCGACCGTGAGAGTAACTTAGTTTAGACGTAGCACCTTAGCAGACTTTCCTCGGTCCTTAACACGTGTTCTCACAGTATAACTTGCAGTTTCTTGTATGTCAGTTAGCCGTTAGGGTCTTCTTGTTCTGTGAAGATGGCATGGTGCCCTCAGCCTTTGCATATACTCTCTCAGTATTAATTCCCAGTAAATAATAAGCAACCAACCAACCACACTTCCCTCTCCTGGCCCCAAGGCTAGAAATTTCGCTGCTCCGTCTTAGCATTCCAAGAAAGTGCTTCCAGGTATTTCGATAGCCCTCCGGGCCTCAGACACTAGGCTACATGCAAACCGCGGGTGCCGTAGATCCCTGTCCCACCGTCTGTCCCCCTTCCCTCCTCGGCTGATAGGATGCAGGCTGAGGCAGTGTGGCCCGGGACTGACGGCCCAGGTGGGGAGTGTCCACAGTGAAAGGAGCACTAGAGTCCCACCTCACGGTGGGGGTCCCTGATTTCTAGCTTCAACAAGCCGTGCCTCACAACAGTCACCCTGGGGCTGGCAATGCCTGTCCGGGCTGTGCTGGGCCTGCAGCGGGAGAGCCCCAGCTCAGATTGAGGTGATGGTAACATGCCTGACAGACATCCAGTCCTCTCACAGCTGTGTGACTCAGTAGATAAAATACTGCCTTCTGCCTTTGGGACCATGATTAAAACAAACAAAAAAAGACAAAAATAGAAGTCACTTAAAAACACCCCCAGCTTGAGAGGCCCTGGGAAGCAACATGAGCTGAATGTGTGTGGAGGCCACGTCCAGCTCAGAACCACTGTCTGTCAGGCGTGGCACGGCCTCGCCTGTCTGGAAAGTGCCGGAGTCGTCAGGAGCTGCTTTGCCTCCTGTGTCCCCTTCCCTGCCGCCAAAAAAGTCTTTCAAGGACGAAGCTAAGGTCAAAAATGAGTGAACAAACTTCCAGGCTTTGTGTCCAGCACCTGGAGCCCCCTCGATGTGAGGGGTTTAGAGGACTTTACGGTGGGTGTTGCTGACTGACTTTCACAGACGCTAACTTCCCGACACAGGAGCAGGAAAAACAGGACGTTTGCCGCTTAGGCGGTGGGTCTGCGTGACATGACGGGTGTGACTGCTTTGGTGTTCTCTTTACTCTGTCCTTGGAGCCGTGTGAAAAGCTGTATTGCTACAGGCAATTTATTTAATAATTGGAAGCCATATTGATAATGGATGTGGTAATATTTGTAAAGTTTAATCTTCTTTAAGCAGCAGTAACCTAATGGAATTTTTTTCCTTGATCACATATGTAGCACTTTTGTTACTTCTTAAAGATATTTATATTTGATAAATCTTTTTTTCATTTTGAGAACTCAAAATACCAAACAGTGAACTTGGCGTTATAAAGTCACCCTGTGATCACCTTGTCATCTAGTAGCAAAAATGATGAACTATTCATGCATCGAAGAAAATTACATCTGCTGGCCCTGTATGAAAATGATCTCTCAGCATCCCGATTAAATGACACACTGTCACTGCGGTAAGGAAACGGCCCTCCCCTCGGGTGTCAGCGGAGGGCATGTCTGAGAGGGGCAGCGCCGGCTGCTCTCGCCTGGTCCACCTCTCCTTCCTGCGGACAATGGGGCCTGTGTAAGGGGACTGTGGGACCTTTTGTCCATTACCTGAAAACGACTTCTAAGATAAAAGAAGGTGCCATTTCCTTACCCCCCCCCCCCCCCCGCAAATGTATTCAACTTAAAACCATTGAGAGAGTGAGACTTACTGACCGACCTTTTTCTCTTTCTCGTTAGCGAGATACTGCATGTCCGCCAGTCTTTCGCTGGTCTAACTCCACTGTAGGCACGTGCTGACGCCACCAGCTCTTGTCTGTGAGCCCCGCTTACGTCAGTGTGAGCCAGCCTCTGTGCGGGCGTCACAGTGCCACTGTGTGGGTCTGTGACTTAAGGAGCTGTCAACAGGGCCTGGCCTGCTCTTGTCCGTGGATTTCAGGGGGAAATGTATATACTTTTTCACTTCCAAGAATTGAAGTAGAATGGAGTAGCCTTTTCTGTTTTACTGTGTTACTTGAACCAACAGATTGAAGAGTAGCATTTGTTATTCTCAGGAATGATCCCCCCTCGTTTTCTTCTTGCTGTGTTTGACTTTTCGTTTGGATTAGGAGATTGTGTTATCTTTCTTTCCTTTTGTATGACTTAGAAGAACTATAACTTGTATCTTTCCATTTCTGTGGAATTTTGTTGGCTTATTCTAGGCTGAATCAGAAAAAAAGTGGGGGGGGGGGTGGGAAATACACTGTCTGACAAGCCACATCCATGACTGATTATTGTAAGGATATTATTATCATTGATCGCTTCCTTATGATGGGATTGCTCGTCTTGTATCGTTAGTTAGTTCTTGCTGGTCTTTTTAAGGAAACAGACTCGAACTGTTAAGACAACTTCAGTTTCTAAAGAACTACAGTGATTGCCAGAAAGGAGCTGAAAGGTTTCATTGTTTGAAGACCTTTAAGGAAGGGGGAAAGACAAAGAAGAAAGAAAGGAGAGTGAGTATCCAGAGGCAGTGCCGCCCTGTCTGGGATCTGGCGAAGGAAGGACTGTGCCCCCACTGTGGGCGCCATCGGGCAGACTCCATGGGAGCGGGAGGGCTGCTGGCTGGCTCTTACCCTGCCTTACGTGCTCGTGCTCCTCACCAGGAGTAGACGTTTAGTTCTCTGGGGCCTATTGTTTTTTTTGTTTGTTACCAGGTTCGGTTCCACTCTCTTGTCCAAGTTACCTTAGTTATTATAATGGCATATGGAGTTGCCACTAATTTGTAATATTTTTGGATGGTAATACTTTTTCTGAAGTTTTTTTTTAGGTTTGAGATGTGATATTAAAGTAGAAACCCTAAACTGAAGGGAATAGCTGGGCTCTTAAAGAACCCCCTGCTGTTCCCGTGCTCATCCCGTCTCTCTCCTCTCCCTTCATGGTGGGCCTTCTCCAGGGCTAATCTCTCTGTGTGAGGAAGATCAGAAGGCAGGGGGCGGGGGGCTTGCCCAGTTCATGTAACTTGTCTGTGTTATTGTTTTAAGACTTCATCAAATTACTGTGGTCACATGGATACACGTCCTTCCTAAAACAGAGCCTTACAAAGGGACCTTTTAACGATGGACCATCCTAATGAGATTGCCTCTCCGTCAATAACTCTGATGTTCTGTGACGGCCAGGGAGAACATCCAGTCCACTCTTACCTGAGACGGCTAGTGCAGCGAGGACCAAATAGCGTCTTGGGGCAGAGGAGTGTGGTCACCGTCCACCTGCCTGTGGAATCTGGTTCCTGCACATTGCCACTAGTGGGACCGCCCTGCCGCCACATTCCCATACCCGTTCGCAGAAAGGAAGGCCTGGAGCGGGAAGACCCTGAAGGGCACCTTTACTCAGCTCCGTAGAGGTGACCCCCGAAAAAGATGTGGATGAGGAAAAGCTCATACACATGACGTGTGCAGACCAGGACTCCAGTCGGGTGGACGGCAGGCGGACCAGGCATCCAGGTCATTTTACCTCAGAGGGGACGATTCGTTTCTGCGTTTGGCCTTTGTCTCTCTAAATTTCTCTTGGATCCCAACCTTCAGGCATCAGGTGTAACTACTCTCCTTTCATCAGGACCTCCGGTCACATCCTTTCGTCTGAAAGCAGCTCTTCCGTTGCCTCAGCTCCAGCACGGAGCTTCATCGCGGGCTTCCTGGCTGGAGCTGGTTTCCAGGGCAGGAGTGCGGCGCATCTCCATACGACACTCCTCCTGCCTCTCAGCCCATTTTTTTTTGACCAGCTACATTCTCTCTGCCCATAACAGTGGAAATAATCCATTTTTTCATAAATAATCTCCCACTCCTGTCCTAAAAATGTGAACTTCAAGTCCTTTCTCTTTGTTCTGAAAGGTTTGGTAAGAAGCACTCTTCCCATTTAGCTCATGTCTCTACCCCGCCCCTCCCCTTATTTTTTACAGAAGACCACCAGAGTATTTTTCCCCAGTGAGTCTCACAGATTCTTAGGCAATAATTGTCTTGTTGGTGATCTGTGCTTGGCAGCACGTCCACCGAGTAGCTCTGACCCTCTGCTGTGTGTTGGTTTTCCGTGTTACTCTTGCCTGTGATTTAAGTCTCATGTCATTTTGTTGTTGTTGTATTAGTGACGTTTCACTACTGCATTCGTCAGGGCTGCGCTGAGCTCAGCCAGATCCACGGATAGCTTTACTGAGCCGGCTCTGTCGGGATTTCCCACATGGACGCCGGGCATGTTGGCCAGTTCCTACTGGTGGTGTCCTTGTGGGTGTCGGGGTGCTGCAGGAGTGGCTTGCGGGTGGAATTACGCATGTGATACATTCCTTGCTGTGTGCTCGCTAAATATAAATAGCAGGGATGCTTTCTCAGGATTTGGGGATCGGTTGTCAGCCATATTGAATTTGGCAAACTGAGCTGCATGCCCTGAAACCCTTTACTGTCCCTTCATTTCCAGGGTCTAATTTATGTCACCTCGTCAGGCTTGAGTTACCTCGGGGGAAGGTACTGCACCTAAGGAGAACGGAAGGTCTTCCTGGGAGGCAGCCATGCCTGGCCAGGTGTCCAGGGAGGGCCTCCCAGGCAGGGCACGCAGGGCAGGGCCCTTCTCTGTGCTGCGCGCTCCTTACAAGGAGAGATTTCCTTACCACTCTCGGGGGAACTGGGGAGGTGGGAAAGGCTTTCTAGTCATTGAGCATAGGAAGCCATTTGCCGGATACTGAAGCTCCTCTTGCCGCAGGTTGTGCTGGGAAAGGCTGCTCTCAGTTCTCTCTCCCAGCTGAGGCCGAGGTTGGCTCACTGACCTCTGGGCACAGCTTCGTTCATGTCTGTGCACATTCAAAAGCTAGAGAACTGAGAAGTTTCCACATCAGCACCTTTCCTCTTTCTTGGTGGGGAAGAGAAGTAGCAGCAAAAAGAAAGCGAAGGACGTGAGAAACCCAGTTTCCTGTAACATTGGTTTTCTTTTGTGAGCAAGAAGGGGAGGAACAGGGAAGAGAAGGAAAATCCCCTTCTTACCGCCACCCTCGGGGTCCCAGACGTGCATGTCCCTGGACTCCTTTCCATCATTCCTCCTGTGGCATTGGGGCCAGCCGTGAGCAGAACTAAATCTAGCTGATTCCACTGAAGTGAGAGCTAACTGGCACTTTTCACACCAGAGTTTACACACATTTCACACCTCGTCTCATTAGCCAGCTCCCTGAGAACAAGGGGAAGGAGTCCTCTGCGGGCGCTTTGCCTTTCTCTCCCAACACGTCACTTTGGCTTGGCAAGTTCTTGGATCAGTTTGCCCACTGTTGTCCCCTCCGGTGGGTGTCTGTGCCCACGGCATTGCCTGCGTGGGGCAGCAGCCAAGGGCACAGTCACCACCTGCCACACGCTGGCCGAGCAGGGCCTGTGCACACAGCTCGGCAGGCTTCGTGCATCTTAGGATGCCGGCTGCATTTCCATTCTCTCCCTTTAAAATAAAAGTGGCTGTACAGCCATAATTAACTCTCAGATCCACATTGGTGTGCTGTGATCAAACGAAGGTTTGCCTGAATCCTTTCAACTTGTAACCATGGTAATTGAGGGGGTGGCACAGAATGAGTATATAAAAATATGATGACAATTGTTCTGAATGACTGAGTGTCCTCCTGACTGTAATTAGCTGCCTTAGCGAGATGTGGATTGGCATGGTCATAATTAAAAGGGTTTCTGTCCTCCGTGCGATTGAAAGTGGCAGCTCCCCCACCCTGTTCCCTTCAGCACGATGCTCCCCAGAACATTGGGAACCGCAGCTCAGTAAACGAAGTAATGACAGGGTGTCTGTGTCCTCTCTGAAGTGAGAGAGAAGGATTTAGAGATATTTCAGCTTCAAAATGGAAGCCTTTGGTCATGGTTCCCCATTTGATTCTAAGTCTCTGAAGCCTGCCCCTCGCATCAGTCCCAGCCTGCCCACGGCCGTTTGTCAGAATCCCAATTGAGTCGGCCATCGACAGGCCCTCCGGTCCCTCCGTCCCACTTGCCAGCGTCTGCTGCTGGCCTGACCCCAGCCATTTATTGCTTCACCAGCCCCCTAGGATTTTAAAAATGTCCTTGTTACTTGATACTTCCATTGCCATCTCCATCAGAAAGTCATTATCAAATAGGCATTCACATGAGCTAAATAGGGTTTTCCTCATTGAATCACATGACACAGACACATAAGGAGCTAACATACATGGGCTTTAAACAGCTGTGAGGCATGAATGGAATCCTGATATGTGCGATGTCCCGAAGTTACTGGAGCAAAAGGACATGCATGAGTTCCACCAGGCGTCCCCCGTCGCGCTTGCACAGGTTAACCAAGCGCTGTCAGCGGCCCGCGGCCCATCGGGTGGTCCTGACGCTGCACACAGTCCCCTGCCCAACGCTGCCCACTGTTCACACCCGAGGCCTCCCCCTGGGCGGGAGCTGCAGGTCGCGACCCAGCCTTTCTCTAGAGTCTGCTTCCTTTGGCCTCTCCCTCGCCGGCAGAGTCTACTCAGTGCATGATCAAGAGCAAGTCCACACAAAAGCCCCTTGACAAGCTGGTCACCCCAGCAGGGCGGGGCCTGCCTGGCCAGCACACTAAACAGACCAGCCCTTGCTTTTGTTCACAAAGGCTGCTCATCCTCATGCAGCCTTTCCCCCTCTGCACATACCAGAAGGAATCCTAACCCAGTGCTGGTTACTCCAGTTTCGTGAAATGCTGAGGTTGGCTGCAACCCAGACCCCCACTCACACACACACAGCATTTGGAAAAAAGTTCTGCCTTTGGGGCTTTAAAATTTTTGTTCCCTTCGAAATACCTAAAGTCACATGTATAGTTGGGCTAGATCAGGCAAAGCAATGCCATACAAGGTTTTTACTCATTGCTTCTCCCCTGTGAGATCTAAACATGGCTGTCAACCCCACCCGACACAGCACGTGTGAAGTCACTGAGACTTTTCAGTGGGATTTGTCCATCTTCTACAGTTGGGAAGATTGTGGGTATATGACCCCAAAAAGTATCCCATCCCTCCTCTCTTTTCCCAGCTCCTGAAAGATAACTCGCTATTAGATTACAAGAAACTAGAGTAGAGATGCTGCCTTCTAGATGGAAACACTAGCAGAGACATGCAGCCCCCAGAGCCCTGGGCGCCCCTGACGACAGCAGCATTTCCTGAGCGCGCACTGTGCCGGGCACGGCGTGAGGGCTTCCGCTGCCTCACTGAGCCTCGGGCCCTGCCCTGAGCTGGACCCCTTCGTGGAGTCCAGTCCAGTAAAATCTCCGGGTGTTTCCTCCATCTTAGTAGGTGGTATCAGGGAGTGTGCTGCAGTGCTCTGCGTCAGTCCCTGCCTTTGACCTGTTCCATTTTCTCATGGGACAGCTCTGGGCAGTCCTCCAGCACCACGGCATCGGCATCCTTCTGTGCACTTGGTTCCCTCGGACTCCAGACTGTGTCACCCGATGATCTAGACACCGAGCAGGGCAGCAGGAGCGCAGAGCCCTGGGCTGTGCGTCTCCAGGGCGGGGTGGAGGTGTTGCCTGTCACTGGGAGGAATGTCACAGCTGTCTTAGAGCCCCAGTTCCAAGGGGCTGGGGTTCTCGAGCTCTCCTGGGGGTAGCTCCAGTTAAGTGATGCAAGGAAATATTGATCTCTCACACCACCCCGTTTTCTCTGCTCAACTCTTCTCGCGTTTCGGACAGCCTGGCACCTGTCGGCAGCCTGCTTGTTTAACGGGGTCTTGCTAAGCCGTTCCACCTTATTCTGCCGTCCCGTTTGTCACCGTCCAGAGGGCCTGGGCCAGTGCTTGTGTGGACTGGAGGCCCTGCAATCCCAGTGTCCCCATGTCCGCCGGACCCTGGCTCCCTGGGGTCCTCGTGAGCTTGAGTGGCCCGCAAAGCCGCACCCAGCGAAGGGGCCGGCCGCCCAGGGTCTGTGTGGTGGTTCGGCGACTGTTTTCAGGGACATGGCGCCAAGCTCACTGAGGACTCCCTAACTGAAAGTCCATGTTCCCCTCCTCCCTCCCCAACTCTTTTCCTCTCAAAAATAAGTCTTTCTCCAGGGCTGGTCTGTCTCTTCTGATCTGCTCTGTCCTAGGCGTCCATTAAGCCCAAGAGCGTGGAAACCACCCAGGAGCAAGGCCCCAGGGGAGTGGCCTGTGGGAGGTCCCCAGGTCCCCAGGTCAGCTCGGGGGCTGATGGTCCCTGTAACAGGGACCTTGTTTCTTTGGTTGTCAACACAAGGGGAGGAAGGCAGCCACACCTGCCATTTAGGTATCAATCCAGATTGGCATCTTTGGTGGCATTTGGGCACCACTGACATGTTGGTGAGACACTGACTCCTCCCTCCGAAGGAGCACATGGCTCACCAGCCGGACAGACCCAGAACCAGGCTTCCGTTAGCTTCTGCTGCTTCCATCACTTCCAGGCCCAGCTCCGGCCTCAGTCCTGTTTTCTGGCTTCCTGGGAGCACAGCAGCCTCGCCCACTTTGTTTCTTTACTGGAACCAGGAGCCTGGCGTGAACTAGTGAGGGTCGTTTTCCCACTCGGTCATACACTGCAGCTGTTCAGCTGGAAGCAGGGCCTTAGTGCCGCAGTGTGCACAGCAGCCACTCTGGTGACGTGACACCACTGGCTTTCATGCCAGGGCCCTGGAGGGTGGGCGGCTCAGACATGAGAGGGGATGGACCAGGGCGAGCGCGCAGCTGTTGGTTATCTGCCGTGAAACCACACCTCAGTCTGTTAGTGAACCCCTTAGCGCCGCGTCTGAAAGGGGCTCCGCGAACCAAAACCAAAGTTCCGGGCCGCGGGCTCTTCGCTGTTCGCTGGTTTTGCAAAACACTCCTCTCGGAAGGGCCTCTTCTTTCCTGGTCTTTCTTCCCCTTGACAGAGAGCACATCCGTGCAGCACGCACCTCCCCCAGCCCCGCAGCCCGGCGCTGGGCTGCAGAACTCCGAGAGAAAGAAAGGCCACGCCAGCCCAGCCCAGCCCAGACTCCCCCAGGCTGCCAGGCGGACACCGTCCCTGCCAGATGCCAAGAACATCCCTGTTGCCTCCCCTGGAAGAGCCCACAGCCTTCTCTGACTCCCCACGGGCTCCCCTCCATTCCTTGGCCACGGCCACGGTATGTGGTACCTTCTGAGCATGAAGTTCTCTCTGATTTAAGTGCCTAAGCAAGTTACGGACCTCTGGGACCTGCCGGAGGGTCTCAGTGCCCCGCCCCGCCCTCCCCACCTGCACTTCGTCCTCCAGGGAAGGCGTGCTGGCTGCCGTCCAGGGTCCCGGCCTCTGCAGGCAGAACAGCTTGCAAGGGCCCGCGTGGGGCCACCGCGCACCCCATCGGGCGGGCCTGTCACTCCTGTGCTGCTGCTTCAGGGTGTTTCTGTCGATGGGGTCATGGTCTTGGTTCAGAGCGAATGTTGGGGGCCTGCTTAGCAAGGTCTGCAGCTACTGAGTGAAGAAGGTGGGGGAGCAGCAGCTGTCTGTCAGAGTCACGTGATGATGGCTCCAGACACGATGACTCACTTGCCACCATTAGGACTGGGACCCTGGCGCCCCATCCTCTCCTCCTAGACTCAAGGTTCAGAAGAGCCGCGCACAGGGCTCAGGGAGGACTGCACCTGCGGGAAGGGGATCAGAAGCGCGTCTTGAAAGTGAGTGTGAGATTCAGTGTTTGCTTCTTTTCTCAGTCTGACCTGCGCCCGGGCCTTTATTCCTCGGTGGGCGCACGAGATTGTCCTGTGACCCCTGGCTGTTCATACTGGGCACTAAGCAACGCTCACATGGCTTGTTGGTGTGTTAGAAGGTTTTGCAAACTGGAACAATCCATAGCCAGGCACTTTATTTTCATTAATAATCCAACATTTTTGTTCAGACAATATAACATCCCAACCCCTGGGCATCACTTCACACGCAGGGGACCCTTTGCCCGAGGGATTCTTCCGCGTCGGGTGGAGGAGGGCGGCCGATGGATGAAAGTGATGAACGGGGGCTGTTGCCTCGGTGACGTGGCAGTAAGGCCTTCCTGGAGGCCACCAGCCTGGATGCCAGTCGCCGCCCCTCAGCTCTCCAGATGCTATTTTTACAGGTTCTACTGAGTGCTTGTCAATTACCCGGGTTGTAATTGAGAGAGAGATGAATGTAGGGAGAGTGCAGCGAGCGGGGGAACAACAGAGCAATGCAATTAGAGGCAGGAAGAGGCCCGGGTTCCTTCCACTTAACTGGCCTTGAACTCTGCAGCGAGCCGGGTGCTGGGGAGTGATTCCTGGCGGAGTGATGTGCAGGCCGTCGTACCGGCGCTGTAGGTGGGAAGTAGCTGGCACCGCGCGTGAGAGACAGAAAGCGAGCTTGGCCTCCAATGTGACCCGACACCGCGGGCCAGACCCTTGGGCTGCCTGGGAGTCCTTAGCATCCACCAAATACTCGCGTGTCTGCAGGGATGTCCAAGCCTCCCGCCGTGGGGGGGGGGGGGGGGGGGAGGGGGGGGGCGCTCTCCTGTGTCTGAGTCTGTGTTTCCCGCTGGCGTCCCAGTCTGTCCCCACCTGTGCACCATGTGTCCCTGAGGGCGTCGCACCTGTGTCTGAGTCTGCTGTAAGGTGTTCAGTCTACCTCAAGGGGTCACCATGGTCAGCTCCTCCCATAGCCGTCCTCCCCACATGGCCACACACACTGGAATGTATATGTGCCGGGCTCTGCCTTCCCCATCAGTAACCTCCTGTCCCCATCTCTCCTGTAATCACCACAAACTCCTAGTGCAAATTGGATGCTGCTTTAAATGTGAAAACAATTGTTCAAAAGCTATAAAACCTGAATGAAAGCTAAAGCTGAATTTATAAGCCTTGTTGCATATGAGCCAAAAGTGCAAAAAGCTCTATATAATGAACTAACCTGCCACTCGTATAAATATAAATATATATAAATATATTAAAATCAGACTGTTCTACAAAATTGTGTATTTGTATTTTTGTGTACGTACAATTTTCTGCTAAGCAGAAGGAGGATGTAGTATAGGATGCTGTGAGAAGAGATTTGGTTTCATCCTATTTCTTTGTTACTTATTTTTGTTAACATCAGATGCCTGTCTTCGTCTTCTATGTGTATGACACCGTTTGGGAAGCTGCAGTATCCCTCTTCCTTAGTCCAGAGTCCATTAGAGAAGGACAGCTAGGCTCTAGAGAGCTGCCAGGCCGCACTCGGGTAAGTGGACAGAGCCCGGCCTGTGCTGCCCGTGGAGCTGCGCTGGGACCGAGGGCCGGCAGGGCCTGGGGAAGCGAAATCCCACTTCTAGAGATCAGCTTCCAGAACAAGAGATTATCAGATCTGTTTACCAAATTCTCCCGCTCACCCAGAGGGGCAGGGGGCACAGGGCCTCTTAGAAGGGGGTCTGCCTGGCTGTGGTGCCAGCTCATTGGCCGCCCCTGGACCCCTGTCCCTCTGAGTAGTTGCTGCCTTTTTCAGATCAAGTTACCGAAATGCCTCCCTTCTGCTGAGCTGCTGGCGCTTCACCACCCAGCCTCCAGCAGGTTCCCTGAGCATCTCAGAACCCCCTTTCCCGGTGCTAACACACAAGGCGGGGAAAGTGGCTGCCGGTCACGGCCAGAAAGCCCCTTGGGGAGGCCAGGCTGGGAGACAAGCTCCAGGTGCCCAGGGCAGCCAGCCTTTCCTCAGGAAGGAGTCCCACAGCCCTGGGCCGCTGATCCCGCTGCCCACACCTCAGCCCCACGCGGTCCCCCCCGATGTGAGCCTTCTCTAGGGAGAGCGATACTGCACCTTCACCTGTGGGACTCATATTTATAACAGTGTGTGATGACTGTAGCAGAAGCCCTTGTTTCTAGATGTAAATGGTCCAAGGAACAAGTGCTCTATTGTATTAATTAAAATAGTTCAATGAGTCCTGTATCATTGTATCTCCTATTCTGGATTAGTGCCTTTTGGACAGTAGACTGTTCTGTAATTAAAATGTAGTATATACTGCTTTTTTGTACAGTTTTTGTTTTAATAAAACTTTTTTTTAATTTGTGTTTATTTTAGTATTGTACCTATTAGAGAATAAAATGTATAACTGAACAAGACTGGCTGGGATTTCTTTGGGAGAGGAGCGGCCGGCACCAACAAGGGTGGAAGTGGTCTGTCTGCTTTAGAAAAGGATTGGTGCCCCCAGCGACCTGAGGACCGTGAAGGGGTTAAGGTGACAAACTACCTGGTTGAGGGAAAGCCCCTGGGCCCTTCCACCTCTGACTCCAGCCAATGCTTTGATTCCTGTCTGCCTGTCCCCCATCGCCCCTCACCCAGCTTCCCAACCAGACCACCAGCCTTCCCACCATCTGCCACCTCCATCCGGAAGCCCCAGCTCCTAGCAGTTCCTCCACCTTTCACAGATCGCACTGAGCAGTGTCAGCTGCACCCTCCGCTCCTGCCAGGATCCAGCGCCTCTTTGCTGGGGCTTCCCCTTCAGCGGCAAAGAGCAAACAGAATGAACCTGAGGCTTTGTTTTTAGCGCTTATTTAAAGGTGCCCAATGGTTGGTATCCAATGTTTAAGCAGGACTCAAGGACAGTGTCCAAGCTCTCCCCTTGCCCAAAGACAATCAATTTACTCCCCCCTCAGAGAAAACCTGACGTAAACCGTCCGTTTCCTCACTATACATAACTAGAAAAGACTATGCAAAAATTTCAGCCGCCCCAAACCCGATCTAAATTGCCAGGTGGAAGTGGACAGGTGGGGAGGGGCAGTACTGGTGACACTCACCCCTGTTCCAGCCAGAATTGCTCCTTCGGGTTCTGTCCTTTGGTCCCCCTGGGAACTGTCCCCTCCCATCGCCCTCGTGCCTTCATCTCCTCCCAGTCCTACACGTCCCTAAAGGTGACCTCCTCAGTCCCGGTGTCTCTGGGGCCCAACTGGGGCATCATGCCCTGTGGATCCGCCCGACTGTGGGCACCTCGGGACAGACTTGCCCGCACTGTGCACCTAAGACCCGCCAGGGCAGGTGTGCCGATGTTCACGGAGTGATTCAGTGAGTGAGCAAAATAAATGTGACAAATCCCCTAGCATCCATTCTGGGTCTGAGCGACCGTAAAGCCCCGTAGCCTGATGCAGACAAAGGAGACCTCATTGAGTTGCAAGAGAGTCAGTAGCAGCTCGGAAAATAAGATTTATCCTAGGAGCTAGATCAATTCTGCATTCAGACTCCTGCCTCGGAGCAGCACAGCTCCTGGCGGCCAAGTTCCTGTCATTCTTTGGCAGTGCTTATCTCTGAGAACAACTCTTGGGCACTTATGAATACAAACAAGTCCCGCTGAGATGTGCTCTGACTGATGGCCACCTCCAATCAGCCCTCCAAGTGGCTGCAGCGCACGAAGGCCGAGTGAGGCACCGACGCAGGAAAGGAGCAAGCTTTGCGCAGGGCCACCAGCAAGTCTGTGTCCCTCCCTGGTGCCGGGCTGAGCCCGTGACCACCAGTGGGCCTTGAGGTGGCCTCAGAGGAGGCCAGCTCACCCTCCCAGATTCGAGGGACTGGGCTGATGTCCCCAGAGCTGCTGGGAACCCGCAGTGTCTACAGTTGGGTGCCAGGACTTGAGAATGTTGGCCTTGTGGGCAAACAGGCCCCAACAACCAACATCGGGCTCCACAGCCTGTGGGAGGAAGACCAGCCCAGACAGTGTCCACAGCCAAAACCCTCCTCCCTCCCAAACACCTTGTTGCAGGACCTTCAAGGTAACCCACCTGTGCGGCAGTGGCAAGGAGCCTCTACTCCTCGGCTGGGGGTCTGGCATGGGGCCAGTTCCACAGATCCAGGCAGGCGTGTCCTGAAGGCTGGACATCCCTGCTCCAGAGAAGTGACCTCTCCCCACCTCTCCACTTCCAGGCCAGCTGTCCCCCGTCAGCTCAGAAGCTCCGATTACCTTGGGTCTAAGGCCAACAGAAAGTTTCTATTGGTTCTTGGCTCCTGTAAGAAGTCTCAACCTAAGACTGTTCACGGAACCACCTGGGCCTCCCTGGTCCTTTAATCCACATGACAGAGAGCACAGGGGCCAGGGAGGTGAGCAGGGACTGGGGAGCTGAGCTGGGGACTGGCTGCTTCCCTGGACCTCCCCCTCCAGGCTACATGTGAAAAGCCAATCTCAACCACTCAGAACCCGACAGCCCGTTGCCTGTGGAACAGTCTAGAAGGAGCCCCCACATCAGGGTCGGGGAGGGAAAAACAATAGGACTGACCTCAGACTTAGGCATGAAATCATTTAATTTTATTTAGAAGCAGCTGATCCTATGGTGGAAAGGCATGTATGGTACAAAATTACAGAGGCTTAGTTCATTATACAATACCAACCATCACGTCTTTACAATTTATTATAGAGTCTTTGGGTTTTCTTAAACTTCCATTTCATGTGTAACAAATCAATGTACTCTCCCATCAAATCTCTTCTTTACATGTGAGCCCATCATATTCACAGACGTCCACACACAGAGAGGGCCCAAGACTCTCCCAATGGAAGCTGCCGACAGCTGGGCAGAAGGCACGATGGGCTTGGAGGAGGGAAAAAGGCATGTGGGGACAGTCAAGTCAGTGTCTTGGGCATAAAATAGAGGCTGCACCGGGTCCCCACAATAAGGCACGACAGACAGCCTGAGGCGGCCCTGGGGGCTGAAGGCACCGTGAGAGGGGCGGCCCAGGGCAGGCCTCGGCCAGAAAAATAAACACCCATGGACTTCCGGTCAGTTTCGCAAACGGGACTTCAAGGCGGGAGGAGGAATCATAAGGAGGTCGGGGCATTGGAACACCGTGGAAGCCTTTCGGACTCTTCGAGGCTTCCATTCACAGCTCATTCTCTCTCTAGACACGCAGGCCCCTCATGGCTGGCCCCAGTCACACTACTAGCTGTTTTCTTGCCCTCCTGCCCGCTCTGGCCAGGCTGGGCATCAGGACAGCCGCCCCCCCACTGTCCTCGGTCCCCTAGGGATGAGGGCTGGCAGTGCAGAGGGGAGCAGAGGCCAGGAAGGTCCCCACAGTGTCTGCCTGGGGTATTCGTGTGGCACCCACAGCCTCGTAGGGCAACGCTGACACATCCTTACCTGGCCCCAGCTTCCCCTCCTGCCGTCACACTAAATCCCAGCACCAGGGACCTGCTAGGAATTGCGTCTCAAACCCTAATGCTGACGCTGTTTAAAGTTAGGCCTGCTTATCAGTAAGGCGAGAAAGAAGCCGGACGAAGGCCCTCCTCCGGCTCTGGTCCTCACACCACCCTCAGGCCCACACCTTCAGCCCGATGCCCGCTGGGCCGTGGGGACGGTCTGGGTTATGGTATTAGTGGCACCTACTGCACACACTGTCAGTCACAAGCCACCTCAGTCTGCACTGAGGCACAAGAGTGAGACCGAGTCTGGGGGGGCAGGCCTCCTCACCACGCACTGCAAGCCACCTGGAGGTGGACAGCGATGGTGCCCACACCCGATGG